AGAGACAAAGAACATTTAAGGAACAAAGGCATTATAAAGCAATCTCTCAAAGAATTAAAGTTAACAACGATGACAATTCAACTGTAGCTAACAAAGATAGATTGCGAAATACAACTTCTTAAATTTTACTGTTAGTGTTACAAATCTCAACTGATGTGATTAATTTAATATCATAAGTTTTCGGATTTTCCGACAGCATGGTCAGGGAAGAAGTTATATCTGATAAACTGTTGGGGATTCGGATTTTCTCTCGGGAAACTAAATGATCCATCAACCGGTGGCGACGGGAAGAGATACATATGACCATAGCCGATATATATGCATTAAAGAAGATTGAAGTCATTCCCATTACATTCTTTGTTGCAGTAGTGTTCCTTGATTAAGGCCACAGTCCTTCCTTCTTTTGTTTTACAGTCAGAGAGAAGGCCATTTCACTGATGTCACTCACTGTCAAAGATTCATGCATGTATCAATGGCCAGTAGCAGCAATGGTATTGATAATCGGCTCGTTATTATCACCAAAAGTAGTTGATTGACTATAGTTTTAAGAAATGATTTCAACAGTTTACAATCTCAAAGTTTTCAAAGAATTGTTCCACCTTTATTTTTGTGTAAAACTGTTTGCAGCATGTTTTAAATAAAACAATTTTTATTGGCAGTGAATGCTAAACAAGAATATGAAGATGAAGAGCAGCCAAGAACAGTACGAACAAGCTGATCAAAAGCACATCAGAAAATCATAGATCATCTATTCCTTCACTCAATTTACAAAAGATTATGGGGTCTGGATCAGTAACCAGTAAAACTGATAACGGGTGTGGTTGTGATGATATTCTTTGAATAACAATAACTGATATTGAAACTGCTTGTTTTGAAACTATTTTAACTGACAGTTGCAGTATGCTTACAATCTATATATTCCCCATTGATAAAATATCATCTGAAAAAGTTTCTATACAGTAACCTACCTGTTCAATCTATTTTGCTCAGAGAGTGACAACGTGATTTCTCTAGTTTCAAAGCTAAACATTGTCAGAATGATTCAAGAAACTACACCATTTCAAAACTGCAAGTCTGGCTTATCAATTCAAACTTTAGCTACAGCAATATAGATATGACCGTACGCTTCGGTTGCAAATTAATTTGTATAAATTATGAAAATGAAGTGAAGGCATTCACACCACATAAATCCTCCACATGCTTATTATGTTCGAGATGATAAACTCAAACTTTATAATTGAAAAATGGAGTCAAGGTCAAAGTGAAAATTTTTTTTAATGTCGAATTTTATTAAAAGCTGTTGATATTGGATTTTTGAAGTTGATCACGCTCATAACCAAAAATGAATAACGACCATTTACTGCTACGATTAGTGGAAGCACATACGTGGCTCTACATACGATGTCGTGGAAGTTTTAATTTGAGTAGTTTCGCAGACAAAGATTGCTTTCAAAGATTTATTCACTGTGGGTAATATCATGTCATTCACAATGTCAATGGACGAAGATTTCCTTTTGATTACTGATGACCGAAGTAATTGCTTCAAAGCTTGAAAAGAAATTAATTGTGTGGAATTTAGAAGAGCAAGTGTAAGCTTCGAAGCAGAGGTCTCCATAGAGAGTTCCCCAGAAATGAATTCTTTATGTATAAATCAGCTATGTGGATAAGAGAGCTGTTTCACATTTTGCAACAATTCATCCATTAAATAGAAATCTAGTTTTAAAATGGAACAATTTACAGGTTAGCAAGATATAGCTTTGCCAATTGCTTAAGATACAGCTGAAAAAATTTGACTGATAAGAGTTGGATAAACGATAGACTTAAAACTAGTTTTTATAATGCAAGTACTTTTTTATAAATTTAATTCGATTTTCCCGACATATGGCCACTTCCAATAACAGCAGCAGTAGATAGTCGTTAACTGAATTTGGTATAATTAGTGTGAATGATACGGAGTGATACAGTATGCTCCGTACTACGTGTTACCATTCACTGATTTGTCTTATCAGTGAATTGCAGAAAGAGCACCGCGGTAGCAATATGTCAAGATTAGTGTTGCGACAGCTGGTGGTGCCACAACTGCAACACTGGTAGAGTAAAGCAGAGATGTGGCGTAAGAAATGCTGATATAAATGTTGTCAGTGCAGCAAATCTTGCCTCTCCGGACCTGATACGAAATCTGTTGCTCGAGAGCTAGTCCACGGCCATTGAATCAGCGATTTCTCCTGAAAGCGGTTCCATCTTCCCTACACCGAATGACAAACGACACCACTTTATGGACCAAACTCTCGTAGCAACAACCATTTTCAATGATCGGCGAAAAGTCGCTAAGAAACTGCTAAGAATACGAAATTTACTGGCAGTTGTTAAATTGGTCCATATTTATGCGTGAATGATAGATGAAAATGACCACTTGAAGTTGGACATTTGCAAACCACTTTTCTGTTCGCTTTTTCTATGATACCAAATAGAGCGGAAGTGCTATGAAGATACTATTCTTGAATTGATAAGTTTCTGGAAAAAGTATATCGAACAACGGCGGGGTCGGTTTACTACACTGCGAACTTTATTTTACTGTAGCTGAAGTGTTCAACATTTGCATATTTCTGACATATTATTTGCTAAAATAGCAGTGATTCATAGAAGGAATCCTTTTCTATGCAATATTCATTGGAAGGTGGTTGTTTCCGGAAACTCTGCCTGCCTTTTCATCAAGGGTGATAGATCCTCTTCAGACGATGCCCTGAATCGGCCAGGATGAGCCTATGTACTAACTGTCCACAGTTTTACTCTTCCACCTCGACTCTAAATGAAATCAAATTTCAGGCTTTAAAGGTTAATGGGAAAAGAATGACTTTAGCGACAATTACATCACTCATATGTGTCCTGCTCAACATTTCCTACATAATTGCTCTATTGATTGTGTGTGTGAGAAAACGAAACGTTGAAACAGTAACTTTTGTGACGTCGTACTAAAACAAATTTCTTCGTTTGCTTCTGCCACAATTAGTAGTTTATCTGACAACTTTATAGGAAAGACTTAAAACAACAACTATTTTGATATCTCATCCAACCATTTCATTTCATCTTCGCCGGAAATATGGATAGGTCAGCTATAAGCACTAAAAAAATTGCATTTGCTAGCAGTTCAAATCTTCAAGAACGAAACGAAATTTTAAATTTCATCATTTTTTCAAAAGCTGGAGAAGCTTTCCGATTGGAGAACAAACTGAACACTGGGATAGTGTGTCAGATTGCTATTTCATCTTAAAAGGATTGTTTACAGATGCAAAAAGAGAAAAGTGAACAATACAAAGCACCGGAACCGGCAAAAAGCTCAGAAGCAAATCGAAAAGAGCTTTTCGGCCCTTCTCTCTCACCAAAGGTTACGGTCACTAAAGGAATTGTTGCTGTTGTTGCTGCTGACGTGCCTAAACAAGTGCTACAACAAAGTTCGGCTGCAGCTAATCAAATGCAGCAAGCCATTAACGATGTTAGCTAAAAAAGTGTTCAGATGACCGGGTGTGGAAAAGATTCAGTAGATACTGCAAGTCGCGAAGATAGTTCAAGAGGTCACACAATCCTACAGCTATCTTTTGTGGCATTCCTCAGAGTAGCGGCACATCCATAAATGAAATTTGATTAGATTTAGCTGAGAAATGTGGAAGTTAATTTTGAGAAGCGCTATATTTACATATAAAACCGTTCACTGTCTCCGCAACCCTTCTTTATTTTTCTAATTTAGAATTTTTAAAGGAGTACCTAAAAATATGCGAGACCGGGATGCATGGAAATTTGAAAATATATTTTTGATAAATATGAATGGTATGAAATACCATGTTATCCAGGGCATTGTCATATATCAAATAATACAGGAATGAAGAGCTGAATGCCGGAATGTTGCCCACATGTCTTTTACTTCACATCGTTTAACTTGATAATTCTAAGTGATCGCCTAATTCACCTCTGATGCACATTAGTCACCGAGATCAGGAATTATGGGGCGGAATGATTAAGCAAATGCTAAAGCAGATTTTGTTAAGTTAGCAGCTTTTGAAGTTTGCAGAAATGCATCGAAGTTCCTTTGTAGTGAGAGCCTTGATAGAAACAAATTTCCGACAGCGTTTTCGATCACGCCAAACCCACGTCATCCACAATATATTCAGGAGCACACGCAAGCGACACAGCTAAGTAAAGAACGAATAGAGGGCGCAAAAGACGGACAGAAAAATCTGCTGCAGGTTCACTATAATTTATTACATACCTAACGAAAGAAGTACATTTAAGAAGTAAACAAGACATTCAAATTTTTAGCGGATAAAAGACATGAAGGAGAGGAATGACGGACAAATTCAATGCAAACAGTATGTAAGCTTGCTATTATTCTTCTACTCAAACACCCTGTACTGATATTGTATAAATCCTAAAGCATAGAGTGTGAGATGAATTCCTCAAGCAAACTCTTACATATTTTCCGATTGACCTTATGGTATTGAAATTGTGTGAAGTTAATTCCAGCCATCAAGACTCATCCAGCCGAATTTCTTTGTTACACTGTAATAGCTGGGAGATATGGAAGCACTTTTCCTTCCCTTTTCCGCATCGATCCGTGTACAAAACGAATAAAAAAATATTTTTTTTTATTTCAAAGAAAATGCAAAATAAATGTTACGTGATCATCGAAAAATTCTTAGAAATCAGTGAAACGGCGCAAAAAAGCAATGAAAAAAGGAATAAAATTGGAAACAGCGCAAACGCAAAGAAGTAATGAAACGGAAGAGGAGCAAAAAAAAGATAAGGTGGGCAGTGTTCAACACATTTAAACACCAACAGCACTGAGAAGGGTAATGTTATTCCTGACGACCCCTGATGTCTTCCAAGTCCTTCGGTACAATCGTTTTTATCAGCAGATACTCGACGCAATCGAGTTTCTTAATCGAATTACTTCTAAAGTGCCATTTCTTCATTTCTTCCACCTTCTCTCACCTATTTCACTGTTCTGTTACTGCAACCTGAGTCCATCGATAGTTCCCTCACGTTCCTCCACTTGTCCCATCACTCAGTTCGGCCTGAATCGCTGACCTCAGTTCTTCAGTTCTCACTTCACAGTTCAACAACTTCTCACTTATAGATAACAAAAGCGGAGGAGGAGGAGGAGGAGGAGGAGGAGGGGGAGGACGACACGATGAAAGGGATCGCTTCGCTACAACAGGACCTCAATATCGTGTCCGCCGAAGAATAACCTCCCATCTGTGATCATTCATTCATTCTCTCCCATGTAAAACCAGTTATCAGCAATAAACTACGTTGACCCCCATGACCTCTCCACTCCACAGAAATGAAAAACTGAAGCCCGCAGATCGAAATGCTGTAGGAAGTGCCTCGGCCAGAACTCACTCTTCATTTTCTAAGCTTTTCATTTTTGAACTTTCGAGAAGACGTCCATTGGATTGTACGAGCTGTTGGATTTCCTCGAGTAGAATTTAGCACTCCTTCGCTGTATTTCTCCTACTTCGGCGTGTGATTTCTTTTATTTGCAGTAATTAAAATGGACTTACCGGAGAAATGGCCGGTGGAAAGTCTGGTCGATGGAGCTAAACTCGGTGTTCGCATGACCGGAGACTTAGAGTTCCGTATGTTTCTCTTCCATTCCGTTCCTTTGCCGTATCAACGGAAGCGTAGGCGTTAAGATTTATTGATATCCTGTGTTTTACCTACAGAAAAAGCGTTTTATAGGTGAAGCAGAAATTTTATCGATACGTATCACGCCGGAGCAGAAATACAGATTTTATGTTCATTACATTGACTGTAATCGACGACTCGATGAGTGGGTTGATGAATCGGCGTTGGATCTTACAAACGTCCGCTTCCCACAAAAGGGTGGAAAAGCTCCAAAAGTACAAGTCGACACGGCTAGCAGGTAGGCAATTGGTTTAGATCAATACTATTTGTTAGGCTTGCAGTGATAATCCTCCCTACTCATGCGAAATGTGTTAGTATGATATTAAATTAATTTTGTCATCCTGATTTTGTTACATCAATCAAGTTTTCTTTATAACCGTGTTTGATTGCAGTCTGACTTAAAATTGGATGATGAGTTACTTTCTAGATATATTTTTCGTTTTATTCCTTTCAAATTAAGCACCTTAATAAGTGAATGGTATGCTAACAGACTTATTTCCGCTCTCTAGAGAAATTATAGTTCGCATACGTCGTCTCCGGATCGTGAGGTACCTAAAAAAGGCTCGACACGAAAGAGGAAAGTGATTGGTGATGCGTCGGAAGTTGTCAAAGTAGAAGAAGCACCTGTGGTACCACGTCCTCCATCACCATTCCAAGCAGATATTAAGGGTTTGTTACTCTTTTACTGACAGTTCTTTGTATTACACCTACTGTCTTTTATTGTTTCATTTTTTTTTTCGTATTAAACTGGATTTAATTTTTGAATAGAATTTTTGAAAAAAAAAAGAAAAAGTCTTACAGCTGATAGAAATTTTTGAGTAAGCAGTACCATAACTTTACAGCACCAACACAGCGTGGTTCGATGTCGATTATTGGACATAGTGAGGATGCGTTAACACGGATTCGAAACATTGAAATGATCGAATTAGGACGTTATCGTATACAGCCGTGGTATTTCTCACCCTATCCACAGGAACTCACTACACTTCCTTGCATTTATCTTTGCGAGTTTTGCTTAAAATTCGTCAAAAGTGCCACTTGTCTAAAGCGACATATGGTAATTTCATTTTCACTCTTTCCAAATCACTAAAGAATAATGCATTAGTTTCACGGTGCTTGAATTATAGATAAGACGTCAGTTTTTAGGAAAGTTGGTGTCCTATCTCTCTTTTGAGAACTTCCTGGAAACTTCTCCCATATTTTTCAGATGAAGTGTCATTTAAAGCATCCACCAGGCAATGAAATATATCGTTCCGACAAATTATCTTTTTTCGAAATTGATGGAAGGAAGAACAAAGTTAGTTCTTTGTTAGATTTCGTGCAACCGTACAACTTGTATATATTGTATTTATTTTAAAAATTTCAATAAGTTTTGTTTAGATTTACGCACAGAATCTCTGTCTCTTGGCGAAGCTCTTTTTGGATCACAAGACGCTCTATTATGACACCGATCCCTTTCTCTTCTATATCTTAACTGAACAGGATGATCGTGGCTTTCATATTGTTGGATACTTCTCAAAGGTTTTGCACATTATACCTATTTGCTTAAGATACTATTTAAGAAAACTTTATTGAGCAATTTTTAAGAGATTTAGGATTTTTAGATTTGAATTGAAATAATGATTCTTTTCAGGAAAAAGAATCAGCAGAAGAATATAATGTAGCATGTATATTAGTTTTACCTCCTTATCAGAAAAAAGGTTACGGGCGACTTTTAATTGAATTCAGCTATGAACTTTCAAAATGTGAAGGGAAAACTGGATCACCTGAAAAGCCGCTGTCTGATTTAGGATTGGTAAGCTCTGTTAATTCGATTTTACTTGTACTTACAGGACGAATTATCAATAGCTAATACTTTGTCTAAATTCTTTGCTAGATACTTCTGCTTCTAATATTTGATTTATCCATCTTCCTGTATATTTTCAAATTGTAGTTTATGAAATGTTGCTTAGCTGATTTGCTATGGATTTGATTTTGCAGACAAAAGACTTATATTTGAATGTTTGAGACAAGCTCAGATACCTTGATTTATGTTGATATTAAAAGCCGGATGATGTGAATGACCGATTACTTAACGAAAAAATGAGAGACTGGAATGGCTTAATGTTAGCATTTAGTTGGACACTTTATCCCAACAAGATTTAAAAGAATCACTGTATCTGTGAGCCTAATATCTTCATAAAGAAAGCAGTTTTTTATTTTTAAATTTTGATATGTTTTTTTCCATTTCTATCTAAATATATTACATACTATGTCCATATGCTTTATTCTTCTTTGATAATTATAGATAATTTTTGCTTAACGCATACTTGAATTTATATCTAACTCTATAAAGTGATCAGTAGGTTTAAAAGGGGTAGATATAATTTTAACATTAAAATATTCTGAAACAATTTCAAGCGAATTATGGACATATATGCACTGAGTCATCGATTAAGTTGTACCGGCCATATTCATCGCATCAAATAACCCGATCATCTTGAACAAATATTGTAAACAGTAACCATATAGTAGTGTTGATTGTTAATTTCTTTTCCAGTTGTCTTATCGTAGTTTTTGGTCACAAAAAATTATTGAAAAATTGGTGCAACATCGAGAGAGATGTGATGATGGTGATCAGCTTTACTTGTCAGTTAATGATCTCAGCGAAGAAACAAGCATACGGAAGGAAGATATAATATCAACTTTACAAGTGTATTTTTTTTGTTTTTTCTCTTTAACTTCTAAAATTTCGGGAAACATTATTTTTTCTATTAAAAATTATAACCATATATGTTTTGTTCAGCAGCTGAACCTGTATAAGTACTACAAAGGACAATATGTCATCGTTTTAAGCAACGAATTATTGGACGCATATCGAAGAAGGCAGCAAAAGCGCCAAGTTCGAATTGATCCATCGAAACTTCATTTTCAACCCAAAGACTGGTCGCGAAGGAAAATTTGAATGATATATTTTGATACATTACATACTTTAGATAGATTTCATTTCTTTCCATCCTATTTGTATATCTACTCTCGCTATGCTTATCATTCAAAAATAGCATAAAGTTGTGCTAAGAAGTTCTGATTGGGATGAGCTTATATCAACCGTTTGCTGCTTAATTGATCAAGTTTATGTTGTTGATGTCAGTGTATTATGCGTTATGATTTGTTGTTTCATAATCATTCCAATAAATCAACTTTCTTAGTTACCATTTGACCTTGCGTTGTATTTCTATTTTGGTACTGCAGGGAAATTCAAGGTTTCCTCCCTAATCGATTTTTGGAAGAAGTATTGGAATTTCTGATGTGATTTGCAATAGGATTTATTTATCATTGTCCTTATATGGATTGTAGTATAGCGCACTATCTTTTACTGTCCATCGCTGCAAGTATTTATGTTCTGCAGTCTAGAGCATGAAGATTCATGTTTCATGTTTTCATGTTTCCAGGTACTCATATGGAACCTTTTGGGTTTAATCATTTACGAGTCGGGGAAGCGGTGGATATGGTACCTACAATATCTGGTCGAAAATACAAAAAGAAGCTTTTAGATGTCTCAAAGTGATTGCTTTCCAATTTCTGTACTGGCATTCTTTTATAGTCTTTTAATAGCGAACATTAGAAAATTGAACACATATGTATATTCCTTCTTATCTTGCAATCCATCTTTTCTGTTATTCAGTATCAGCCATAAGATACAAGTCGTTTGAGCCATAAGATAATGTTAGCCGTAAGATAACTCTAAAACATAGTCTTCCAAAGTTATAAGTTTATCATATTATTGTGTTTTACAGGTTGACGAAATTCCAGCAATTATCGATGCATCATCTGTACTATCCTGTGAATACGCCTGTTTGTCATTATCAGAAGAAACTAATTTTAGATTCGATATACAATAATATGTTGATAGCACTCCCGAAAGAACTGGATACTTTCTTCGTTAGTGCCGTTACTATGCTCAATTTTCACAGGTATCAATTGTTCTATCAAAGGAGAAATCATCATTGATCACTAAAACAATCTGTTTATATGTTTTGGATTTTCTTGACCTATTTGTATGTTTTGGATCTTCCAGAATCCGGAATCACAACAATTCCTTTACGACGATTAGCTGTCTTGCTTATATTTTTTGAAACATTCAAGAATGAATTGCTGTTACATTTATCGATGTCCTTTTCCTAATCCTTATGATCCTTTTAATGATAAGTATCTGATAAATCGGAGTATCATTCACCAATTAGAGCGAATAAGTAACTAAAATAGTAATATGATTCCTAAAGATATTTGGAGGAAAATATCTTTCCCTATCTTAGTTATTTGCAGATGGTTTCCGATGCAAAAGGTAGTGTGCATATGCAAAAATGTAGAATCGTCGTTGAATGCCACAAAAAGATTTGTCGAAATTACGGGTCATTCACAAAGTATTTGCATATATGCTAATTTGAAAAAGGGTGATCGTTATCCGAAATGGATTGAGCGGGACATCATATTTGCTACTGCGGAGGTTTTTGCATTTATTGTTATTGACTAATGAAAAGAAAGTTATGGATTCATTAAACCTCCTGCATGTGATTTGGGATAAGATTGTCTGTAGTCGATTAGAGTAGTAAGCAAGAGCAAGTAGAATTTGTTAACGATCTTCCTTGCATATAGCGGGATCTTTTTGCAGATAAGAAATGCAATTTCTATACCAGTTAATTAAATGATTGGAAATATTTTTGTCTGAAAACAATATCAAATACTTTCCCTCCTTTTTTTCCATCCTCAAAACAATGTTGAAGACTCCGGAATAAGCGAGACAACAATTCACAACAGTATCAAGATCTACTAAGAATTAATATAGCATAGTCAGCATAGATGTTTATATCACTTTATTGTGAATTCTTTCATTGTAAATTTCAACGAAACAAATTGGAGAGGAAAAACTTGGAATTCTGTTTCATAAATTAATTTTCAAGCCTAGGCTTCTCTAATCACTGTAAATCACATCCGCATATCTTTTTACTGGCTTTCAGAGACTGTGGACCTTACAAAACTGTTTTCGTTTTCGGATAGTGAACAACTTTGTAAGATGTTTTTTTAAAAACATTTTCTCAAAAAAAATTGATTTTATCCATGCATGTTTGCAACTGTGTGTCACAAAGGAAGTCAAGAAATACTTAACATGCCATAGCCTAATGACATATTTGTTTGGAATCGAATTAGCATTTGTTATAATTCAACAAATAATGGATTCATGCTTGTAGCATGCAAGAAACGGCATCGACGACGAGACTATCACTTGCAGCGTATAGTAAACTTCTAAAATCTTTTCAAGCAGAGTAGGAATTGAGTTTTTGTATCTGTCTCGAAATGCTTCTGACCTGGAAAACATAAAATATTTTTATAACATAATACATAATCTCCGGAAAAGGGAATAGCAAAATGTCATCACTGATACAATCATTATTTGTTGTGAAGGTGGCAAGCCACTGCTATTTGCGGAATAAGAAAGTTATCTACCCCAGTTTTCTGTCATCAGCAAATATTAAAATGGTAAAGTGAAACTTCATAATGTGGATCTTCTCTGAAAGCACTTTTTTTCACGAGAACTGGTTGATATAGCTGCTTCATCCCAACGGTAATCTATCTTCAAATAGTTTGCACATGCTAACAGCTCTAACAAAAATCATTATATTTCTTTTACTTCACATCTTCTCTTTAATCATCGTGATTAATTAACATATCCTTGTTCAAATGTCATTTAATTTTAAAATGAAATTTGGTTGGACTTTATATCGTCTAAAATCAACCCGTGTGTTATTATCATAATTAAGCATTTCTTTTTGATAAAATTTGTTTGAATTTCAGGTAATCTCCTGAAAAGATATACTGCTTTCAATTGCAGAGCCTCGTTGCTGATTTCACAGGCAAAGAAGAGCTTTCAGAAATTTGCTTGATAGTTGTGGAGGATGCTCACCGCGCTATCTCTGGTTCCCATCCCTTATCTGAACTAATTCGTAACTGTATTCTTGAAAAAGTAAGTTACTGATTGAATCAATTAGAACATTCACAGCATATTATCCTATTCTCACCGTACACGAGGGGAGAAAGGAACATCACATTCGTAATTGTTCTTCGGTTTTCATCATTTATTCAATTTTTTAAAAATATTTTTTCAAGGCAAAGTTTCGTGTTTTGGCTTACACAGACTGCAAAGTGGACAAGGTCGCTCAACTGCAATTAATTGTGATGAATCTCCAAATCGATTTGATTCGATCATTAAGCTCAATAAGAGAGGAAGTTTCATTAGCTATCGCTTCTCCAAGGATGTATAAGCTCTATATAACTATCAGTAGAAATATGCGTCGCCTTGGCAGTGAACTACTGAAAGTATTTTTTCTGTCTTCATTAACTTTTTTAAAAGTTATTGATGCATTATAAATAAATTACGTAATCATAACTTACCGAGTATCATTCAAAGTTTTAACGGTTTTTATAATCCATCTGAGAAAAGATCATCGACATGTAGATCTTTCATTTTTGGGAATATGCCAATTAAAAGCATGAAAATGGAAGTTTTATTAGGCAGAAATAACATTTGCGAGGAATTTTTTTTAACGATCATTAGTTTTGTTCAAATTTTTTAATTTCATTGCCTCTTCAGGTAATGGAACCCATTGCACTGTTACTATGCGAAAGTGGCATATTTCCTACAAATGATATAACGAAAATTGTCAATTTTTCAACAAGTTATTTGCAAAAAACGATACAAAATGGACGAGACCATCTGGCAGAAATTTACTGCGATTTTTTTGAACTTCTGTCAGCATATGACATTTTGATGTGCGATGGTTTGAGCGCTTTTAGAAATACTCTTCAAGGTTGGTGGTTTTTGGAAGTAATGACTTTGAGGTAAACTTTACAATTACGCCACTTGTTTTATTGAAAGCTGCAGAGCTGGCTCTTTCACTATAAATATTGTTCGGGACATAAATAATTTTCAGCATTATCCACCATGAGCACAACGATTGCAGAAATCATTCAGTCGAGTGACATTTTAAGAGAGGCCTGTTTTCTCCCGATTTGTTCAAAGTCTGATGATCTGCAATGCCACAAACTGGATATGCTAATTACATTGCTCAAGAAAACTTGCACATATTATGGTGCGTTTTGTCTCTCATCAGTCACTTCCATTCTCTTCCAAAGATAGCCTTAGTATCACCACTTAATAGATTGCTAAAGTTTTCAACATTTCCAGGTGGCCAGAAGTCAACAGTAATAGTGTTGTGTAGAGATCGAGATCCTATGTTTGTCAACAGTCTTTTTCTGTCCATTAAAGCGCAACTTTCTGACGACGAATATGGATTTGCTTTTTTCCTCTTTAAAAGTAGCTTCTAAAAAACTCATTGTGATAAAGTCCCATCATTTTCTTACTTGCTTTATTTTCCTTTTGCGATTCATATTCTTACCTGTTGATCTTTTTCCGTTCGTATTCAGTATTCATTCATTTATTTACTTATTTATTCTCGTTGTTAATTTGTTTCAGGAAACGATAATCAAACAGAAATTTCAGAAAATGTGATGAAGGTATAGATCAGCTCCTTCACTTACAGTATTTTTGTTTGAAGCCTACTGCATTACGCCATTCTTCATAAAGAATATCATTCGTATGTTTATTAAGAAATATTTTATGATATTTACAGGATAAATTATGCAATGTTGTCGTTGTACCATGTGGTTCGGACACAGTTGAAATTAACATCGGCTACATAGATTCCATAATTTGTATGGATGAAGGGTTTGTTCTTCTGACAGCTTTTGCTTATTTTAAAACTTCCTTAATTTTTTTTTTTTTATACTTAATGAATTGAACATTTGCACAACTAATGTACTATTTATTGTTTAGCCTGTGTACGCTTCGTTATACAGGAAATATCAGAGTACGATCAGAAGGAAATCTTTCTGCTCTCTGTTCTGCAGGATATGAAACGGTACGGATATGCACATATCAAACACCAAACATCTACAAGTTGATGTTTGACAAACTCAACAAAAATTTAATAGTCAACATTGGAAGCAAAATATGTTCAAGCACTAGCTCAAGTGGAATTAATATGCTCACATTTCAGAATATCTATAATTTCTTGACAGTTGATGGAACCATTGACTGTATACAAGCAGATCACATCAAAGGTCTACAGTTGTGTAACGATGTATTGCCGATGTTGCCATTTAATGTCGTACCTGAAATTGTGGAGTACTGGGCTCAGAATGTTGATGACAGGTTGGACTTACTTTTTTATTCGATAAATGAGATCCAGCTACTTAAGTAACATTACGGTTAGTGATTATCTCTGTTCCAGTGAAGGTTTGCTGACAATGATTCAACGTTTGGATTTTCAAGAAAGACTTACTTTCAGCAGTCCATTGTACAACATAAATTTGATTGAGGTCTGTTCTTCATTTTTTCCAATCAGATACTCATTGAAAAACTAAAGCGCACTTGTTGTCCGAACGTAAATTATGGGTACCAATTTTCCAGTGTGATAATCATTGAATTACTTTTTTGAGTTTACTTAAAATTTCAATAGAACTTTTCCTCTAACCATATGTGTTTTGCATTTCAGTTGTTTATTTAAGAAGTTAATATCAAAATTTGTTTTTCTTTAAATTTCCAATTTTAATATCTGGTTGTTTCATCAGGACAACCGCAGCTTACTGGATTATTGTGTGAAGGAGACGTTTTTATGGCAAGACCGTCTACAGCGCTTCTCATTACTTGGCCATAGTACTAGTGCTTCTAATTTGGCAAATATTTTCCGTAGAGATCCAAAAATTTTGGCGGAACAAGTTCGAAGGTATGTTTTAAGATTCCTGAATTGTTCTCAGTGCACGTAATATGTAATTTTGGCTTAACAATGCGGTTTTTTTCGTATGCTGCTTTACATATTGATTCTAATTGTGTTGGCACAGATTACAAAATAGGCAGAGATTGAAATGGATGGACGAAGATTCACAAGCATCAAAAGCAGACGAAACAAATTTAATGGAATTACATTTGCATGGAATTATATACGATCAAAATTCAAAGATGGAATGCTCTGAAAAGTCATCTAGTCAGAAACGATTGGCAAAAGTATGACTATCTTTTAATCAAAAATTCTGCAAATTTTTACAAGTATTATCTAGCAATACTTTCTATGAAAGTATTAAGCATTTTTATCGTGAACTATGATATGTAACAAATGAATTACAGGGGTCGTCCAGAAAATATGGCACGACAAAGATACCGCGCTTGAACCGTATCGATTCAGCTAGTTTTACATTATTAAAAATATTGAAAACAGAGGTAGATCTAATTGCTTGTTCCAAGTCATCGTTTTTCTATTTTGTTTTATGCTTTTACATTTTCATTTGCAGATGGGATAAAATTTAGTTTTATTGTTGTAATTAACTAATGGAGAGAAAAGTTGATTTGTTCAGGATTATTTGAGAAATTCGTTCTGAAAGTGAATTTCAGATAAGAAGGTTTTTTCTTCGATTATTCAGATAACAGTCTTCAACTGCGGAAACACTCTTCTATTTTTTAACAGTTTCAAATTTATTCTGTTATTTCAGTTGACGGAAAGTGATTTCATTGACCGTGTGGAAGAACAGGACCGTTGTCGTGAACGTCTGGAGCGGATAACTGAAATCATTCAAAAACTAAATGACTTGATAAGATTATGACTCAAGTTTGATATAATTTATTTGTTTCAGCCAAATTTCGGGATTCATAGCTTCCAGTACTATTGGGACATGTCATCCTAATATATCCATAAAGTTCTTTTCTATTAGAGAGCACTCTTGCTTTGTTTTTAACAATTAGAACACAGTATCAAGAAACTGTTTATCATGCAATTTAGAATTTGGTATACAAAGCATACCCCGTGATGAAATCTGAACAAAAAATAACAAGGCATTAACTTCAGAATTTTTTTCTATCTAATATTTATTTAAAAAAGATATTTTCAGGGTCGTTTTCAGCTATTAAATTAGTGAGGAGAGAAGACTACAACAGTTAAGCTGTTTTTTGCGTCGAAAAGTACAGACAGACAAAAAGGATATGCTTGATAATTATTGGAAAAGGGCAGAAAACTTCTTTTTAACATATTGTTTTAGTATTTCTTGTTTATTTTGAAAGTTAGAGAGATGGAATTTTGTGCTTTTCTTGCGATCTTTGTTCTTTGATATGGCACTTTTTTCGTCAGAACACTCGTCAAATGTTCAGCGTTTAACTTTAAAAGAACATTTTTTATGCAAGGTTGTCCACAACATTATTTTGCTATCATTTCACTATTCAAAGCCGATGATTGAAAAGATTTTCGCTAAAGATCCAAAATGAATGAGTAGAAAGAAAAGATTAAGCCGTGATTGATTGTGATTGGTTTACAAAGTTCATTCATTTTTATTGACATCTTTGTAGTCTAATGATACAAATTACGCAGCTATAAATTTTGTAATTCTGCATAAAAGACTGTCGTAGGTAAGCCAGATTTAAATACGAAGACTAGCAAGAAGTAGAATGGCTTCATATAACACATTGGAAATTGAGATGAACTTCAGAAAAATCTGGGGAGTTCTCAGCTCTTAAGTATATTCCTCTGAATCTTAAGCGACATTCTGCTCCCCTGAGAGTGAACTATTTTAGTGTATGTGTCTCATCATATATGATGGGATATGCAAGTGCATACATCCAACTGAGTCACCTATCTTCCATCTTTGAATGTAAAAGTGGGAGGGCTGAGCCGGGGATTGATCCCGGGACCTCTCGCACCCTAAGCGAGAATCATACCACTAGACCACTCAGCCTCGCCCCACTCCCATCCACACTTCATTCCATTCCTAAATTACTGAGGATTGAGTTACAGTAACGGGATGACTGACGTGTTTCACTGAGGTCACGTTTCTATCACTTTGTGATGATGAGAGCATCTGAGTATGTCCTTCTGATTGCTTCATTCGCTTAAACAGGTCAGGTGCACAGTGTACTGTTGCATTCTTTCTACCCCTTCTCCCTTTTTAGCTCCATCGACTTCCTTCATCCGGAATTCTGGTTTGTAGGGGAGCATCTATCCGCCCTCCGTTTAACATCCATGACGATATGACAAAGAAGGAATTCAAACAGAGTTGGAAGGAGAGGCAATTTTGTAAGGCCATAGCCTGAGTTAATGCGTCAAGTCAGTTAACAAACATGATCGCTAAATCTGCTCAGGAATTCAAATCTGTTGAACAAATCTTGACATTACTTTTCATGGTATTTTCAAATTTTTTATCTCACTCCATCATTGCCAGTCTGCATTTCTCACGTCCTGACACCAGATTTAACAGTTTTGAAGTTCCGATGAGGGATCCTTAGACTTTGAGTTTAGCCTCAATTTTAATTATACATTGAGGCTGCCCGTCAGTGGTGCTCCATAACATGCCATATCCTTCATTCATTTCATTCTTTATGTATGTTATTTTACTCCAACAAATCGTAGCACAACAAAAATTCAGAATTTAAAAACTGATAAAACAACATCAAATACAAAGAAGTCATGAATAACAAAATTAACAAGAAAACAGAAAGCCGAATTCGATTGTCGTCAACCGTACTTAAACTCCAGCATAATAGACAAGTAAATCCACAAGGCACTAGTGTCGAAATTATAAAATTTATTTCTCAAAAATCTATGCGACCCCTTCGTCATAAACTAAAATGTATGAGGAGGACTGAATCGAAAGAATGAAGGGTTTACAGAAAGAGATAACGAACTATCTTCGTCTTAATGCCAAATTCACCTTTCGAAATCTTTGAGTAGATGACCGACAAATCTTTTATTTCTGCTAGTCAGACATTGCTGAAATTGTCTTGCATCATGCAACAGGTATTGTCGGAAATTCCGAAACAATTTTTCAAAATTAAATTTTATACAAATTAAAGGGAATGCTTTCCATGACTCATTAGTTATCTCATTCTGTTATCTGTCTGATTTACATTTCTTAGATTTATTTCCCCTCAAATTCCAATGTGTCTTTTTTGGTGTTTTGGCCCATATCTTATGTTTTGGTTATACAGGAAATTCATTTCCTGCTTAGAATATTCATCCAAATTNTCATCCTTANCTTCTCATTGAATCTTATTACAATACTTATATGTAATTGGGTCTTAACTGTTTCGGCTGTAAACCACTCCTATTTGCTAACACATGTAAGCCTTCCCAAATGAATCGATGGAGTTTTTTTGGTTGAGTGCGGTTCAGTGAGGTTCAATCCAGTCACCCTTGAATTCAAGCAAAATTCTTTCCTCCAAAACAAACTTCGACGGTCAATATCAAAACTTGGCTGTGAATTATATATTTGACTTTAATTCTTCTATCTTTGTAATCTTCGGCTGTTTAAATTTAATTTGCAAACTTGTACTTCTCAAATTCTATCATATATATTATTCTGTTATTTATTATTTGCGGTATCTCAATAAACGTAAAATTATTGGTCCACGCGTCTGACAATTCGATTCAAATCGTAAGTTTTCTTTTATTCACTAACTCCTTTCCTCAAAAAATTCACGACAGATATCGCGCTACACATAAAAAATCTTATAGCCTCCCCATTACACTCCACCTTTGTCACAACAAAAATCATTTCTCCATTTTCAAATCATCTTAATATTAGAACTAATTTAGGAAAAGAAATAGGTGGAATGTCGTACAGCATCCAGATCAAGCATCCCTTGTTGAACTTTTGGTGTGAACATTTTCCGCAATTCTTGGAATTCTTCCGTCAACATGGCAGTACGTAACCAGTTCGGTAAATATTTCTGGCGGAAGAACTGAAGAAAAATGAGACTTGTAAAGACAATAAATCAAAGTGGAAGAAAATAGACAACAAATCACTTCAAGCCTCACCTCTGCGCATTGCTTCACTAGCGGCTCGCTGTGCAACTGCACAAACTGTTCCCGACATATTTTATTCATCTGATCCACTTCACAAGCATGGGTCCAATAACAATCATGCACTGCTGCAAACGTAATACCCAATCGTCGGCAATATAAAGCAGTTAACATCATATGTGTTGAATCCAGCGAATGCACGAAATTTGGAGGAAATGCGTTTATCTGTGAAATAATTTTTTGTATTTCTTGAGAAAAAATGAAGCTTTTCATGAATACAAATGACCCACGTCTTTGTTCGAATACAAACCATTTCTTGCCTATAAAGTACTTATTCAAGTTCGTAATATTCGCGAAACTACCAATCAACGTCGCACTGATTTACAAAAGAATTCTGTTCACAAATCTTATGGTAAACAGATTGAAGTGATAAACAGACCTGTTTAATAGATTTAGGTAACCGATAAACTTTATTTTCTTCCATTTTCGTTTCTAAATAGGGTTGATAAACGGGTAAACCGAGAGGTGTAATCCACTCCACTGTATGCATCAATTTTACAATTGCTTCCGCACAATCACGAAACCAATCTTTCATTTTCCTGAAGCAAAAATGAAAAAACAACCAACAACTATGACAGATAAGGAAAGTGAACAGGGAAGCAATCACATAAAAAGTAGAGCTGAATGAAAGTATCATACATTGAGCTAGTAAAAGCGTCATTTAGACTTCGAAATGTCCTGTCTGCCAAATAGGTCGCGTATTTCATGCGCTGAAAAACAAATAAATCAAGTAATGAAGTTCTGCAAGACTTATTTTTTAAAACTAAATTGCCTTATAGCACATCATTCCCCCATTAAACAAATAAGCTAAAATGCCATACTTCCTCCGATTCTATTCCGATCGCTTTCAGCTGTCTTTCGATTTGTCTTCGTGCTCCGTTCATTGTTACGCCATAAACAGTGGTCATTACTGTTTGTTTTATCACCTGAACAGCATCATTATGTAAAAAACTCATCTCTGACAAATAATTCCGTTAGGTTTTAGAAATTCTGACTTAATACACCTTTCTCGAAACAGGTTCTGGCATAATAGTACGAAGCGACAAAGCCAAATCGCGAACTTTAAAATCAAGACTCCGCTCATCCTCTAAACGTTTCTGTTCAACTCTGAAATGCATTACATCAACTTTAAAGAATATCTATTGCACTGATAAATGCCAATCTTAACTAAAATTCCTAAACAATAATAATGGCATACCTAAGAGCAACACTAGAATAAACATCAGATGGCTTTTCTGCCGGTACTAAATTCACTTCTTTTCCACCTTCTTGATCCCTACCTAATGCTGCATAATGCTGCAAACCATTGCACGAACCATCCTGATATACCGGTAAATGACTAATGAAAGTCGTCGGATCACCTGTAGCGTATAAAAACAAAAAAACCATTTGAAGTTTAAAGAAAGTAATAAAGAATAAATAATGAAGTATATACTAATTCAGACTGCAAGTCAGAATGGCGAAAAAAGTCAGAGAGATAGTTTAAAAAGAAAATGTTCCCTGCAGATACTTTCTATTTATGATCAATCAGGATCTTACTACATCCTTCCAAAAACATCATTCAAACATTCTCGAAAGTAAAATAGGTTGATATCACAGACTAGTACGGTAATACAGAAGTAAGATTTTGTTCACGTCTCTAAAATTGTCTCACTATAAAGCCTAAATAAATACAGCAGATAAAAATGTGAACAATTTAGCAGCTGTAAGGAAGGCTAATAAAACATATAAATCAAAAAAGAATAACACTGAAAA